CGCTCGCCCGCCCGCTCGCCGCGGGCCGCCCGGAGCCCGCGAGCCTGTCGCGCAGCCCCGCTGTAATGGTGGCAGATCAAAGGCTGCCCCGTGTCCCCGCGGAGCCCGGGACAATCCCGCGCCTTTGTGAGCTGTTGCTAGGAGCCGGAGAAACTAAGGGAAAGTGTCAGGAGCATGTTAATCAGACTCGTTACAGTGTAACAATAACGTCTCTCTCGGGTCTCCCAGGCCCCCAGCACCCCTGGCGCACCCCGCGCACAGGCCCGACACCTGCGCGGGGCCCTCGCGCCTGCCCTGGGGACCGGCCGGCCCCTATGTCCCTCCGGCTCCGAAGTCAGCGCCTGGGCCGGGAGCAAGGACGAGCCCTCGGACCCTGCAAGCGACTGGCGCATCTCTTGGGCCCAGATCTCCTTGACCAGACCCCCGCGCGCCCTTAGTCTGTCGGGCTCCAATCCGGATTCGTGGCCAGAGGGACCTGCGGAGGATTCGGGTGCCCCTGCTTTCAGCCATTGAGCTGAATTTCCCACGATATTCAAACACGGTATTAGAATCAAGAAAAAAATGAGCATTCCATTTTGGGTGGCTTTTTTGCTTTTGCTTTTTGAATCTTCAAAAGATTCAAAAACCAACTTTTCCCATTTCCCTGTCAAATCCATAGAGGATACTATAAGTGATCATCCCGAGTTTAAAAACGAAACAAAGCAAAAACAAGAAAACTTTCCTGAAAGTAAGGATTTCTCTGAACTTTTTTCAGAGGATCCATTCATTCATTCGTTTTTTCATTCAACAAACATCTGTTGAGCCCGACCCAGTGCCAAGCAGCCAGCTAGCATGAAAGTCGTAGGACTGGTTCCGGATGCACTTTTCTTTCAAAATTAAAACGCTCTTGTGTGAAGTCAAAGGAAGAGCAAAGGCGTAAAATAATGCCAAATGCCGCAACAAAAGTGCCATTGACGACAGTAGTGAAGGTAACGAGAGGGGTGCGGATTAAGAATTTAAAACATGTGAAAAACTACAGACCGTATGCTTGGAAAACCAGCCACTTCTTGCACCCATCTTATCTCCTTCTCCCCTCCTCTTTTGGTCTCCAGGAGCTCGGCCAGCCTGCAATCCTGAGGCCGGGAGTCCTGCCTGAAGCCTGAAGAGTAAAGTCAGCTTGTAAACAGCCTGTCCGACTTACTAAGGGAACAAACACTCAGGCTTGTCCCGTTCTCCCCTTGGCCGTACACAGGGAATTGGACAGCCGTGCTCCAGCTTAGGACAGAATTTGGCCAACCGGGGGTGCCTTTCTCCAGTATGAGCTCTTGTTCAGGAACCAAGGAAGTTCCCTTGGTTTAAGTGCTGAACCCTAAGTCAAAGACAGAGCTTTCTATTTAACGGAAAGGATAGAAAACTCACCCTTGGAGTATCTGTGCCTGTTGACCTAGAGGGAGTCCGTAACTATGTTAGGCTTCTCCACTGGTCAAAATCAATTTCTCACACTGTGTGTGCAACATGTAAACATATAGAAAACTGGTCCCAGAGATTAGTCGAAGCCCTGGAAGGAATTTTCAAGATTCCTCTCATTACATGTTGTGAGAGAGCTGATATACTGAAAACTCCATCTTGTGAAAAACAAGGAAGACCAAACACCAACAGATGTTAAAATATCTAGCTAAAGGGGAGAAATTCAGTGAAAACAAACTGGATTTTTCGGTCTACATAATGCCACATAGCTGGTTTGGCCGGGTTCTGTTTTGTTTTGAAACAATGAAGAAATTGCCTTAGTTATTCAGACACAGAATCAAGAGAAAAATGAACATTCCATTTCAGATAGCCTTGTGGTGGAGAGTTTCTTCAGAAGACTACACACTCTAGGTATGTGGCTTAATTTTTTTTTAAAGATTTTATTTACTTATTTGACAGAGAGAGAGACACAGCGAGAGAGGGAACACAAGCAGGGGAAGCGGGAGAGGGAGAAGCAGGCTTCCCGCCGAGCAGGGAGCCCGATGCGGGGCTCGATCCCAGGACCCTGGGATCTTGACCTGAGCCGCAGGCAGACGCTTAAACGACTGAGCCACCCAGGTGCCCCTTAATTTTATTTTTTTTAATGGGCTCTTTTGAGTTCCATGGAAGGAAGAACATAAAAGCTAACATGAATTTCTGGCTTAGATTCTCCGGGGAAACTGTGTTAATAACCCAAACTCCCAAATGAGGAAAGGACCACACCCGTTTCCTCCAGTGGGTTTCCAGGGACTGGAATTCGTGCAGCAACTTCCGGCGGCGGCGTGGGGGGAGGCTCGTGGGGGGAGACTCTGCGACGCATCTCCCAGTCTGGCTTGAGGGAGCTCCCACCAGCAGCAGCCCCGCGGGCATTTCCACACCAGAGCCGCGTCACCTCTGTCAAGGGGCTCTGGCCACGAGCAGCCGGGCTGCGACTGGCGGTAGCTCCTGACCCTCTTCTGCAAAGCCTGTGCATAAGCTGCAACCCCCTCCTCTCACCCAACAAACTCCTAACCACTTTGCAAGGCATACCTTGAAGGTCACGTCTGTGAGGTGTCCCCAGCTGCCCACAGACGACTCGCTGACCCTCCCCCAGTCCTTCCATTGCCCTGGATCAGATGGTGGCTGTTATGTGTGTGTGTCCCCCAAAGAGTGCGGATGCCCTGAATCCTGGACGCTGCCATGCATCTCGCGTCCCTCTCCTGCTCACCTCTCACCCCCAGCAAGGGTTCGCTCCAAGGGTGATCATTCGAATCAGGAACAGAGTCTTTCCTCCGTCAGACACTGAGGTTCTAATCCTGGCTTTCCGATGACCAGGTTGTGTCACATTCAGACAAGTCATTTATTCTCTCTGAGTATCAGTTTCTTCAACTAGAACAATAATACCTAACTCAGAGAGTTGCTAGGAGGAGGCAGTGGGCACGGAAATGCACCAGCCGGGTGCCCTCGCCCTGTCCCCACTCGCGCGCTCGGCCGGCCGGGCCGGGGACCGGGAGGTCAGCAGACAGCCCCCAGCTGTCAGCCACCCGGCAGCATCTGCCTCAGCTGCACACAGCTGCCCAGACTCTCAGCCTCCTCGGGGCAGCCTGCATCCGGTGATGTGTAGATTTTACCACGATTTAAAAAAAAATCATCTTTAGAAAAGAATGAATGCCAAATAAATAAAAACAAACAAATAAATAAATATGGTATTTTTTCGAAAGTACTAGCATCATGCTTTCAGGCATTCAGGAAAGGTCAGATCATTTCCATCTCGGTGCCCAGCCTGTGCTGCAGTCCAGGACGGGAACCCCCATCCCCCTTCCCCCCTCCCGGACCCCCCACCCCCAGCAAAGCTGGCTGGAAAGTGAATTTCTATCAGGGGAACCCCATTTTCTCGTTCACTTTTATTGGCCACTGAAGGCTCTGGCCTCACAGGAGAACATACTGGTGGGACCGACCCCTGGACACGCGGGGCGTGGTGGCACGCTCCCAACAGCCATGCACATTCCAGGGGAGCTTTGTGGCTCTTTTGCTGTTGTTGTTCAGAACCTCCGAGTCCCATTCCTGGACCGTGGAACTTTCTTTCACCATAGAGCTGTTCTGACTACAAATTCATGTTAGCATCCTGTCCAACCACCCTGATGTTGTCGTCACTGAAGCTCGGGAAGATTATGCAGTACCGATTCCTGGCGGAAGGGGGCTCCATCCACATAGAAAACATAGAATATGAGTGGCCTCCTGGAGCTGCCCAAATATTGGCCCTTTCAGTGGACTTGCTCAAGGTCACACAGCTGGCAAAACCAAGCCTACAACGAATGTCTGAATGTCTTGAAATTAAACCACTAAACCACACAGCTCCACACCCAAGAATTCCTCAGATTTCTGGTGTTACATTAAGTTCCCCACTAAGGAAGCTCCAAATAAGTTTTTTGAAACAATGAGAAAAAAGCTGAAACCTCTTTTTCTTTTTTTTTTTTAAGTAGGCTCCACGCCCAACGTGGAGCTTGAACTTACAACCCCGAGATCAAGAGTGACACGCTCCACGGACGGAGCCAGCCAGGGGCCCCTGAAACCTCGTTTTCAATAACTGCCTCCCTCAGACACAGTCCCGGACCCAGCAAAGGTATCTGAGCTCATCACAACTGAAACAAGTAGTCATCAGACGCAGTTAGGAGACTCCACCACCGGGCAAATGCCACCTTGAAGTGGGCCTCCATGGCCCCTGGCTCCTGTAGGCCCTGGATCACCCCCTAGATGGAACATTTTGCGTGACTGCCCACTGAAGACTGGTCTAAGTGGCTGGAGAATGTCTTGGGTGGTCTGAAGATAGGAATCCCAGTGGAGGGATGAAGGAGCAGGATGTAGCTCTCAAGGACAGAGGGTGCACTCACCAAGCTGTGTTAGCTCTCTGGGCCTCCTCTTGGCTCCAGCCTCACTGCTTTGGCCGCTCCTCCGTCGCCTTCATTCTCTGTCTCATCTCTCTCCTCTCTGGTCCCTGTGTCTGCTCTTGGTCTGCTTCTACTTCGCTTTTCCTTATAGTCTTACTTTCCTACCTCCCCTTGCCATTCCAAATGCAAAATCAACAAATGTAGCAAAGAAAACGAAATGGGGTAACAATTTTTTTTCTAATTCTGTGTCCATGTTTTGGAGGTA